ACCCAACTCAACCTGACTTGAGCAAAAATGACTCCTGTAATTGAAAAGTGCAGGCGTGGATGAGCTTCAGGCACAGTTTGATCCAAGAGTTTAAATGAAGTCCTGAGGACTCAGTCTGTTTCCACCTCGGCTTGCCTCCTGTGTTGGTTTCATTCTCAAGCCGGATCTTTAAGATCAGTGGCAAGGCGCCCCCAGCAGCGGTTGCTATTCTTTTAGAAAGCCCTTCGCAAAGAGAGTTATCCTTACCCAATCATTCCGGCCTGGCTCTCCTGAGCCTGACCTGGGCCACACGCCCATCTCCGGCCTGATTACTGTAGGAAGGGGAGATAGTTAGATTAGTTCACATTCCTGAGAGCCAGGTATGCGGTCAACCCCATCAGAGCCACACAGACTGAAAGTAAGAGGGTTCCCCAAAAGAAACTGAGCCACAGTTATGGGGAGAAGGGAGAATAGGCTGAGGGAAGATTAAATGACAGGTGTTCACACTTATGTGGCCTCCACAAGTGATCCTGATATGCAGCCAGGTTAAAAGGCGTGGGTAGGAGATGTGGCCAACATTTTGACATGGGGAGAGAAAGAGGAGTCTTCAGGGAGGACCGAAAAGCAGGGCAGAGACAGGAGTAGATGGAGCATGTGGAAACAGAAAAACACAGAAAATGCTTGAGGAACAGTGCAGCCTGTGTATGCACTGGGACGTTGCTTCTTAGCATCCCGTTCCGGTACCAGAATATCTGTTTTTATCTAGGAGTGTAACCATGGCCACAGACTGAAGTCAAACTCTTTGGGTTAGCATCGGAAGCCTTCTGTCTTCTTGCTACAGACAAGAAACCCTATTTCCTAGGGACCTTTCCTAAGTCACAGGGTCTCTGCCCTTTTCCCCGGGAGCTGCAAAGCACCTTCTTGTGGCCTTTACTCTGTTCTGTGGATTTTCATTCTCTGTCTGTTGTGGCAGTTGTTTCTTAGTGTATATTATCTTCCCCACTGGATGTTGAGCTCCTGGAAAGAAGGGTCTTTTCATCCCATGTCTCTAAGTCCCAGGCTCCACCTCTGCAGAAAGAGGTTTCAAGATAAACCCAGTTACCCTGTAACAGTGCCTGGGGTGAGCAATGCTTAACCGGACAGGAGAAGTCCCCAGGGTAAGAATTTCATTCAGTGCATGAAGAAGGGAGGGGACATCTGGGGATAGGGCCCCCCACTCAGGTTAAGGCTTGTCTCCCACAGGCTGCTACCCCCAGGGATCAGTTGTGGGAGAAAGGAGTTGTGACTCATTTGCTTCCTCTTGGGGTTGAAATTTCTTCCTGTTTCACAACTGGGAGCCAGAGGTGGCTGTATCTTAGCTGGCACTAGGAGCAATGAATTCCTAAAAAGTGAAGCAGATATCACTTATTGAGTGCCTACTATGTGCCAGGCACTATGTCCAGTGTTTTACACGATTACTTCAATAATTTCTCCCAAGCTTAAGTTCTTTCATTTGGTAAATCAGAGACGTTAGGTAACTCTGACATTGACAGAACTGTGGTTTATACCCGGGTCTCTCTGACTCCAGTCCCCTTGGAAGTCTCTGGGGCTCAGACATATCATTTCTGATGCTGGCATCAGGTTAGCCCCATGCCCTCTTCCTTCAGCTCCCAATCACAAGAGGATGCCCCAAACCTTTTAGGTTTCACTGCCTGAGCATTCTTGAGGGCTCCTACATTCCAGAAAGGGGAAAAGATCAGCTTGTGGTATAAGCAAGGAGGAAACTAACCCCCCCTTTCAGTCCCTCCATTCCTACTACCTTTGAATCCCCAGGCAAGTACCTCTCAGTGAAGAAATTCTCTGGCGCCCCCTGGTGGTCCTCAACACTCCTGCGTGCTCGAGCTCTCAGGTATTACTCCATACAGGCCAATGGAGACACCCTGTCACCGGGTAGGGAAAAAAGAGGCACTTACCCAATGTCCCGCATGGAGGAAATGCTAGCGCTGGGACTGACCCAGAGCTCCTGGCCGCCAGCCCATTCCGCAGCATCACTTCCCATCCCTGTAGACCTCCATAGTGGCTGATGACCCAGCAGGCAACGTTATAACACTTATTATTTGTAAGTACTATGCCACACTATTAGGTGTGTCATGATGCTGTAATGTATATTAAGCTAGATCAGGTCAATATATAAAATGTAAAGGTGGCACACCCTGTTATTATAGAATGGAATCCCACCATTCCTGTCCCCCCTGCCCCCATTTCACATTGGAAGGGCCAGCCTTTTATCTCCTGCCCACTGTCCCTGGGAAGCAGGCGTTCTGCATAAACTCTTTCCCACCACCTCATTTGCAGGAATGTCCAAGAGGCCCAAGGAGATAAAGTCTCTTGGGATACAAATGTTACATCAAGTGGAAGAGGTGACAAGAGAAGAGAAGAAACGAGGAAATGCCCTTCAGGCAGCGTTTCTCTTCTGTGGGATAGGAAATGACAGCAGGAGGGAGGACTCACAGGTATGGGTACAAGCGTGTGTGAGAATCGCTCACCTTTGATGGCTGGGATGGTGGGGGCAGGCGGGTCGGACAGCAGACGGGTGGAATGGGTCTCAGGTCAATGGCAGGAAATAATGGAGGGATCAAGGCGCAGGTGGCAGGACCTGCCTCTCAGATACCCTGGAATGAACCCTTCGGCTCAGTTTTCATTCCCGGTACTTGGTTACCTCTGGGTCCTGAAGGAGAGAAAAGGACACCAGGTCTGCTGGCCCCTGGAGGGTTGACTTGTCACCCCTGAGTAAAGGTGTGGTTGGTGGAATGAGCCCCACAGAAGACACTGGGGAAGCTGCAGGACTCAGGAAGCACAGAACCCAAGGTGGGGCGAGTTTGGGGAGTCAGGGAAGGGATGAGACGCGGGAGCAGTGGCAGCGAAAGGGATTCTGATCGCCCTGCTCCGGACGTGGAGATCCATCTAGATGCCCAACAGTAACTCAGACGGGCTCCTTGGAGGATGCCTAAGGCGGGTTTTACCGACTTGTCAGAAAGCAGAGCCATGCGCGGCCCCACCGACTCTGGCCGAAGGCCAGGAGGGCCCTGGGTGTGAATCCAGACAAAGGGAGAGAAGTGAAGCCCCAGCTCCACCGCGCACCCCCTTCCTGCCTATAAATAACCCTGTGTCACTTCAAAGGGGACTGGGATCGCGGGAGAGGCTGCTCCCGGGGCGGGTGGCTAGGGGCAGTGGCCCCTCCACACCACGCCCCCCACCCCGGGCGAGTTTGAATAAATAAACAAATCCTAGCCTCGGCCCCGCAGGAGGTGGAGGAGGCGCGGGGAGGAGGAGAGGGAGGGGGGCGGGAGAGATTAGTTTGGGAAGTAGCACGGATTGCTCATCCGATCCGTGCAGCCGCAGCTAGTGTGTCAAGTTACAGAGGCGCCGGAATCGGCCCCAGAGCTCCTCGGCGGCGGCCGCGACCCACCTCAGCCCGTGGGGCCCTCTCCGCGCGCCCCTTCGCTCCGGGACTGAAACGGGCTCGCCCCAGACGCGAGACGCCGAGAAGCAGCGACAGTGCCGCCAGCTCGAGGACTCTGCAGACACTTGAAGGAAAGTCGGGGTGGAGAGGAGTAGCGGCCGGATTCCCCTAACTTTCCTGGACTTGGAACGTTCTTCGAAGTAGCTTTTTCTCACCTGGGCGTACCCCGATTACCGCTGGTTGTGATTCCTGGACTTTCCCCCTCCTGCTGCTGCTTTTTCCAGCCTCTTTGCCGGGAGCAGAGGAAAGGGACGTTTTCCAGCGACACAAGCCCTTTACCCCCGCCCAGCAGCTTGGATCGAGCCTTTGGGCAGCAGCTCTCGCCTTTATTTATTCTATTTATTTATTTATTGGTTCTCAAGCCCCGAGGGGATGGTAGCGGAGCGCGCCCGCAGAGCGGC